ATGTTGAACCCCCAGACACTGTAGAAAATGTAAAGACAAGAGAGTTCTCTTTGTCATCAAAGGCTGATAAGCTACTTGGAGATGCTGTACTTGGTCTGACCACAGCATCCAAAAGGAGTCCACTCTCCATCCTGTGTTGAAACTTCATGATGGTTCTGAGAAGAGGAGAAATACATCACGCCCAAAAAAGAACCAGCGTAAGAGAAGGTTACATTGACCATTCTGAAACACTCTAACATGCATGAAATTGGCCAAATTAGCTGCCTTCATGGAGAGTGCCCTTCCAATGAATGTGGCGCTGGCATTTTCATGGCCAGCCACTTTCAGACATTACTGTAGCCAATACGCTGTCTGACTCACTGCTGCAACAAAGCAGAGGGCAAGTGATTGTGTATGAGTAATAAAAAGACAGGAACTGGAAAAATTTGAAAGGGTAAGGCACTTAAGACAGTAACCACAGTGTATGTGTCATAGAAGCAGATATGTGTAAAGTAACAGTTACATGGTTCATCTGTGCTCCTCCTGAACAGACTGATGGGTGAGATTGAATGCTCAGACCCAACTCACCATGAGGGCCGCTACTCTCAAAAAGCTGTTTCTTCCATTTTGTCAGTAGTGTGAGCTAAGTCTTCCTATGTTGCCCCTACTGGTCCAGAACTTGAAATCCCCTTGCCTGGGTGTCCTGAGTGCTAGAATCGGGCCCAAGTATGTTACTTCTTACTCAGTGCTGACATTAAGCACTTTGTGACTTAGTTGCATCCAGTCACTGCTAACTTTCCGATTCCCTTACAAATTATAGTTACCCTACGTGGGTGGGCCTGGTGTTCTCATGACTTCTTGCAGGCAAAGATACATCACCTTCAAGTGCAAAATATGGGCACAGCCTATGTGCTAGGGGCAGTGTCCAGGGGCAAAGAACCACTGTGATGTATAGGCATCTTGATAGCCATAAGATAAAAGACCTATTTTCAGTCAGCTGATTTGGACAGGTGGAGTGGCAGCTGGAAAGGTGGCCAGTAAGTGCTAGTTCTCTGTGTGGCCGAGTGTTTAATGAGAATCTCCACAGACTCACGCTGTAAAGCACCTGGCCTTGACAAACTGAAATGCAGGAGACTTAGGAAAAGTAAAAATCAAATAAATGGGGTTCAATTTGAAAGGGGAGAGAACATAGAGTGCAGCATGACACCCTGAGAAAATTCAGCAGTTTGACACACAAGGAGCAGCTAAAACAGAGCCTCCTGAAGGGAGAACTCAGGAGGGAGCCGGAAGTACATCTGGAGCCGGAAGTACATTCACGTGACCTCTCAGGAGGTAAACACGGCTGAAGGGCAAGACCTGAGAGTCCATAGTAAGGATGTGGTGAAATCCACAGACCTGTGACTCCCTTGGCTGGAAACAAGAGGAAAAGGGTGCAGCCTAGGAACAGTGTCATACCAGAGTAAGAAATGGGAAGAGGAAACAGAGAAGGGGCCCGAGTAAACTTTCAAGGTGCTTCTGAAAACAGAACAAGGGGGCAGAAATGCAGGTCAACTTAAAGGCATGATTTGGATACACCATGATTTGGCTTCTTTAAACTAAATCAGTTTAAACTAAACTGGTGACTTCAGAAAGGGCATGCCTTTGGGAAGCAGTGGCTGAGACAGACTGGAAGCCATCACGTTTTCATCGGTAATTATCACACACACACACACACACACACCCTTTCAGTGCTGTGTAGCATTCACTATGGGACTCTTCCACACCCTTTAAAACCTATTGGTGGACTCAGTTTACATGTAGGGCACCTTTGGCCATGCAGGGTGGATATTTGAGGTCTGCATCTGTCAGGTGTATACCAAGAAGTGGAGACTGGCTCCTGAGACAAACACCTCTCCTGATTGGATACTTCCTGAGTATCACGAAATACTTACACTAGCAGTGGTCCATGGCAGTTGAGGGGTTTCCTATGCTTACCAATCCATGCTGTCTTCCCAGATAAGTATTTGGTATTTGGTATTGCTAGGCTTCAGTTTTGGGTTTTTTTTTGTTTTGTTTTGTTTTTGTTTGTTTGTTTGTTTTAACCGTTCTGGTGTTGGGGTGTTACTGTTTTCATTTCCTGGGTGAATGAATGACTGAGTAGTTGTATGTTTGCTTGTTTTGTGAAGTACACATTTGCTTACATTTGCAAATGCATTGTCCTTTAGATGTGGACGTTTTTATATAGAAAGTTTCTAACATATAGGTATTTATAAAGCAAACTTCCTGAGCTTGAGTTTTCTTTCTTGAGACTGCTGATCCTTCTGCCTGCACCTCTTGAGTGCCAGGATTACAGGACTATGGATGCCTTGCCTTCTGAAACCCTGATGGTGTTTCAGTGATAAAGTTATTAATGCAGTTCAGTTTATCCATCCTTTTTTATGTGGAGTGTATTGTACGTGCATTGTTGACCCAGCTTTTGCCCAAAGTGAGAGTAAATGTGCTTTCAGAAACTGTTTTACTTTTTAAAAAATGAATATGGAGGTGGGGTATGCACAACCCATGGTACACGTTTAGATCATAGGACAGTTTCCAAGGGTCAGTTCCCTCCTTCCACCATGGGAGTCCCAGAGAGCAAACTCAGGCCATCAGATGTGATAAGCACCTTTACCCATACTGCCTCACCTCAGTGGACCCATTTTACTTTTTGTATTTAGTTCTAGAAACTGATCTCTTACTTGATGGGATGGAGTCAGTATTTCTCCTCTTTCCATGGACATCCAATCCCACATTACTCGAAGGAAAGACTAACCTTCTCCTTCCCCGAATGAAAGTGGTATCTTTCACAAACTAGACCACGGTCTAATTGGGATTTTTAAAATATTTTATTTAATTAACCTTCTTTCATTTATTTTACATAGCGACCACAGTTCCCCTCCCCAACCCACTTCCCATCTACCTGCCTCTTCATCCACTCCTCCTCTGTGTCCATTCAGAAAGCGGCAGGCTTCCCATTGGCTTGAACAAAGCATGGCACATCAAGTTAAGGCAGGACCAAGCTCCTCCCCCTGCATCAAGGCTGGGCAAGGTAACCCAGCATGGAGAACAGGTTCCCAAAAGCCAGCAAAGCGCCAGGGACAGGTCCTGATCTCACTGCTAGGAGCCGTATAATTGGGACTCTTATCTCACTGGCCTTGGGCAAACACCACTGCATTAAGTATGGTACTCTACTCATTCATATCTGGTGAATAGTAAGATTCTAACTTCCCAATGCCATTTAGGGATCTCTATTTCTGTGTTAGTTGTTAACTTTCTCCCTTAACCTCTTGTTAAGAGTTTGGAAACTGGCTATCCTCCACAGGGATGTGTAGTAAAGACTGGTCCCAGCCAGTGTGGTAGTACATGCCTGTAATGGTAGCATTAGAGAGGCATCTATAGGAAGATAGAGAAATCTAGGCTAGTCTGGACTACGCGGCAAAACCCTGTCTCAAAAAGAACCCTAAATACAGGATACAGGGAGAGGTGGCTCAGCGGTTGAGAGCACTGGCTGCCCTTCCAGAGGACCAGGGTTCAATTCCCAGGACCCACATGGCAGTTCACAATTGTCTATAACTCCAGTTCCAGGTCTTCTGAAAGCATCACAGATATACATGCAGGCAAAACACCAATGAATATAAAATAAAAATAAATTATTTTGGAAAAAAAAAAAAAAAACTAAATAATCAGAAACACTTGTTTCCCCAGGTGGTAGTTTGGGAAGATAGAGAAAAGGTGGAGCCTGGGTGAGAGACCTTTGTGCCATCTGAGCCACGCCCTCAAGGGCAACTGTGGAACTCCAGTCTCTTCCCCCTTTTCTCCCAGGCCATGAGTGAGCACAACCATTGTAACATGCAGGCCACACATAATGCGCTGTCTTGCCACAGCAACAAAGTCACAAGGCCAACCAGTCACGGACTAAAGCCCTAAGGTGAGCCAAAGCAAACCTTTCCTAACTGAAGCATCTTGGACATTTTGTTGTTGCTTTATATCACGACACAGGTATGTGGGCTCACGGAGGTCCCTCGAAAGAAGATTCAGAGGCACCTTCAGAATGTATCTGGCCTTTTGACAGCTGCGGCAGCGGCGGCGGGGTGAGGGGGGGGTGGGAATGGAGAGGGGAGTGGGGGTGTCCAGCCTCCTTAAGAATGTATTCGGCCTTTTGATGGCTGCAGGGGGGCGTCCAGCCTCGAAGGACTGAAGCACCTTCTCTTGGTCTCGGGCATTTTTATTTCTCGCCATTACAGTTTAGCCAGAAAGGGGCTCCCAACAATACAATGCCAAGTGCAAATTCCTCGATTTTTTTTCTGGGTTTCCTGAATCAAGTTTTGCATAGGCCTTGTATCCTTGGGAAACTCCAAGACAGGCTTCACACAAGAGGGCAACAAGAGAAACAAAATGTGTCTGCTAAACAAAAGATGGATTAGGGCTAGGTGCTACTCTCTGAAGCCGGGCCAGGTGCAGCTCAGCAAGAATGCCGCCACATTTTGTTAAAGTGACAGAAAGCTCCTTCAAATCCTGACTAACTATATATATCCACCTGGGGGAATTGGCATCTGAGCAATACTGGGGCCTCCAAAGCACAAATATACACAAACAGCTAGGCACGGGGGAAAATACCAAGTATTTACCTATTTTGAGGAAACTATATGAAAAGGTAAAAATACATAACCAATTGTATATATTAGTTTCAAATATTTGTAACTCAACTCAAAACCCCTAAAAAGAGCTGAGACTATAAGCTTTGATATTATATCATTAATTACACTTTTAATTTAAATGTTATTCATGGGCTGGGGTGCTTATCTAGCAAGCACAGAGCCCTGGGTTCCGTCACTAGCACTTAAAAACCGGATGTGATAGCACACTACCATCTTCTGTGCATCTCAGAACTTAAAGAGAGAAAGGCAGGACCATCTGAAGTTCAAGTTCATCCTCAGCTACATAACAATTGTGAAACCAGCCTGGGATACATAAGTAAATACAATAAAATAAAATGTTATTCATAATAGTCTTAATTAAAATAAATTTAATTTCAAAAACAACCTGTCTTATAACAGAATTTACATGATATGTGATGTTTTAAATCATGTAGTTAACAGCAGAAATATATTAACTACAGTTTCCAAATCAGAGTATCACAGAGATTTAATATATTAAATCACCCAACAATAAAATAATACCTGCCTTGGAACTTACAAGAACACTTCATTTTATCAAATACAAGGTTCAAACATACTAAGAACAAAATATCTGTTCATATGCCAAGGACCAAGGCTAGACAATAAATTAATTCCTTTAAAAAGGAATAGGAACCATTAAATTTTCTTTTTGAGTTTGAGAGGCCTGAGATCCTTATAGAATATACAGACGGTAGTGATGAAATTAAGGAAGGAGTTTGGAAAGAAATCAAATACTTCATTCACCATTAATTCCACAATACATTTGTCAGCACAGCCAAAACCAGTTTAAGTATCTGAATGTGAATACTACATTTAGTAAAATGTTACACTATAACTAACTACATCAGATACTGTGAAAATTTCTCTCTAGCACAGGGGTTCAGACGGAGCCTACAACATACAGTAGTCTACCAACTGCAGAAATGACCACAATAAGCAATCGTCTCTGGCAACATAGTTCTATGAAATGGCATGGCAATATGAAATATAAAAAGGACAGTGACGTAACTGTAACTTCAAAACAGGAAGCAAAGATATAGAATAGTCATCTTACACTGTACCCATTAGAAGCAGGAACTGCAGCTTCTGGTATTTATTGTAAGGTGACTTTAGATTGCCTACTGTTTGACAGATGCTGAATTACAGTGATTAATAAAACAAAACGGCTGTCTACAAGGAGAGAACCTGCCTGGTATAGTCTTACAAACTTAATTAAATATGGCTTTTGGAATAAAGAGAAAAACTTTTACAAAAGGAAAACTTTCTAATTGAGAACTGTGCATATAAATAGTACACTAAAATTTAAGGGGATCATGTGGACTGGTGACTATTCCATGGCTAGTCCATTAATTATACTTCCTCTATATTTTCCCCAAGATATTCTTACATGCAAATTTTCTTTCAATAATCAAATATTCCATCTAGTTTTGCTTATGTCATTTTTTAAAAATGTTCCCATTTTAAAATCAGGACCTCAAAGACAAATATAAATCAGTGACACCATACACCTCAAACATCCCAGGGTCAGTAAGTGTGATGGAGCTGGACACGGTTCTGTGCCAACTAACTTTCGTCATCTCTTTGTAAAGGTATTATCTCAATTTCTTTGGCTATCCTTTCAGCTAATGCTTTATTATTTGCTGCAATTATTCGTCGAGACATCAAATCAAACGGTCCACCTGAAATCAAATCAAATATAGAAAAGTTATACCCTGTAGAAAAACAACCAGGAGACAAACAAGTACACAGCTATATCTTATGGCCATTGTAACATTTTAATACATTCAGTTTTCTTAAAAAAAAAAAAAAAAAAAAAAAAAAAACCATCACCCAATGACAGTGTTTCAGCCTTGAGAGGATGTAAGTTTCTAGGCATCCTTTCTGAGTAAGTACCAATATGAGGAACCTCAAGTTTGAATGCCACCCTCTCTGCTCCTTGTGGGCACTCCTCCACTTCTTCACTGTCTGAGCAGCTGTGGACAGGCACACTCCTCCACTCCTTCACTGTCTGAGCAGTGGTGGACAGGCACACTCCTCTACTTCTTCACTGTCTGAGCAACTGTGGACAGGCACACTCCTCCACTTCTTCACTGTCTGAGCAACTGTGGACAGGCACACTCTTTCACTTCTTCACTGTCTGGGCAGCTGTGGACAGGCACACTCCTCCACTTCTTCACTGTCTGGGCAGTAGTGGACAGGCACACTCCTCCACTTCTTCACTGTCTGAGCAGTGGTGGACAGGCACACTCCTCCACTTCTTCACTGTCTGTGCAGTAGTGGACAGGCACACTCTTTCACTTCTTCACTGTCTAAGCAACTGTGGACAGGCACACTCCTCCACTCCTTCACTGTCTGAGCAGTGGTGGACAGGTACTCACTTTGATGTCTTTTACATGGCTTTCTTTCCACTTCCTCTTCCACCATGGCATACTTCCTTGGTTATTGGTAAACTCTTGGAACTCAGGGTCATTTTCTTCAATTTCACCTTCTGCTCAGAGTTAATACTTAACTGACCTTGGCCAGAGCAAAAGAGGTGGTGGACAAACTCCATTGTCCACTCTCACTATGGCCTGTTCAAAGTTCACGGTACAAGCCTCAGAGAAGAGCAGACCTTCCTGAAGCCTCTCTGGAGCTCCTGATATTCCCACTTGAAGAGTCTCAATCATTTCTCATTATGTATTACCACTAGCCACCATCTTTGTCTCTATCTCTAATGTTTGATTGTATAGAAAATTATATAGCTTATTTTTCTATTAGGACACGTTATCAATTGTGTGTTTTTGTTTTTGTTTTCCCCACAGCCCACACAGAGAGGAAAAGCCTAACAGATGTGAAGGAAACACGCTTTGGGGTGCCATGACTTCACCTGTCACATCCATCAGCACTCCACCCGCTTCGGTGACGATGATGCCAGCTCCTGCCATGTCCCAGCAGTGAATCCCCATCTCATAATATGCATCTGCGCCTCCAGTTGCCACAAGGCACATGTTAACAGCAGCTGTTCCGACACTCCGGATTCTACCATGAAAAATAAGATTGGAGAGGAAAAAATAAAACCTCTCAAAAAAGGTATTCCTCTTTAAGATCACTTTCAATGCCAACTGAGATTGCTTGCCTCAATCTAGAGAATAATTGTGGACAAAAGTATTCTCTATATACTTTAAACTTTCTCTATATAAAAATGTTCTCTATATACTTAAAGTATATAAAATTTACATATGAGGGCTGGGCAATGACTTAGTGGTTAAGAGCACTTGCTGCTCTTGCAAGGACCTGAGTTCAGTTCCCAGGACTCACATGGTGGCTTACAACCACCTGGAACTGCTGTGCCAGAGGATCTGACGCGCTCTTCTGGCTTCTGCAGTCACTTACGTATGTGGTGCACACACATATATATGCAAGCAAACACTCATATACATACACAAAAAGAAATCTCTTAAAATAATCTTGTCACTATGTACTATGTAAATCACGAATTTATCACAAAGCAACCATTTACTAAGACAAACACAACAGATAACAAAGACTTTAAGGGATAGCAAAACAAAACAAAAAACAGCAGAAAGAGCCAGGTGTGACAGCACACACCTGTAGTCACAGTACTTGAGAGGCTGAAGCAGGACAGTGAGTTCAAGGCCAGCCTGGAGTACACTGTATCATTTTGTCTCAAAAAACAAAAATAGACTAACAGTGAAGAATAATGACACTTGTGTACATTCCTGTGTCTAGACCCCAGCACCACAGTGCATTTATTTTGCATAGACAGGACAGTGCAATCCATCTGCAGGTCTTGCAAAACATCATGCTACTGCTCACTGCCAACTGGAAAACATCATGCTTGTGCTTGAACCCACAACAGGATACCTGGGCTCTGCATGAACATTCAGTCTTTACTTTTCAAAATGTCATTGTTTTCTACAAATAACAGGAGCTTAAAAATGCTCAAAAAATATCAAGCGCATAACAAATGAAAGACTATGAAACTACTTTAAAGGAAATGGATGGGCAATGAGAATCAAGCTGTATACATTAGTACACACCTTAATCTCAGCACTTGGGCAGCCAAGGCAGGAGGTTTGTGAATTCAGGAAAAATCATGTATAAATAGTAAAGCTGGTGGTCAAGTATTGGTCTTTGCATATTAAGTTCAAGGCCAGCTGGGGCTGCAAAGTGGGACCCTCAAAAACAAAGAGGGCTGTCAAGATGGCTTAGCAAGTCAAGTTAACTGTCACCAAGTCTGATGACCTGAGTTCCATCTTTACAGCTCACAGTGGAGGGAGAACTGACCCCTGAAAGCTGTCCTGTGACCTTCATGATTGGCCTGTAGCATATGCAGAAACACGAGCACTCGTGTTTGAAGTGCTTATGTTAATGAGTAGCTCTTTCACTAAGAAATAAACACGTTAGAGCAGCAGTTCTCAACATGAGGGCTGCAACTCCTTTGGCAAATCTCCATCTCCAAAAATATTTACACTACAATTCACAACAGTAGCAAAATTAGAGTTATGAAGTAGCAACACAATAAAGCCTGCTTTAGCCTTACATACTTAATTAAATATGGCTTTTAAGAGAAAACCACAACACAAGGAACTTCTTAAAGGGTCTCAATACTGAGAGTCAGTGCTCTAGAGTGTAGGAAGAAGGAGGCTGAGGCTAGCCAGGAGGACCATCATGAGTTTGAGGCCAGCCTGGGCAGAATGGGACCGTCTCAAAAACAAACACGGCAATAACTATAACAAAAAGGAGCCAGGGAGCAAGGGAACATAACGTCTGTAAGTTACTTCAAAGTTTTACCCAAATTTCCCTTTTTAATTTTTATTTATTTGTTTTGGGGTTTTTTTTTTGGGGGGGGGGTTGTTGTTACTGTTGTTTTTGAGACAGGGCTTCACTAAATGCTCCCGGCTGGTCTGGAACTTGCCACCTTCCTACTTCAGCCTCCTGAGGTTACGGGGGTTCTACCATATCTACTTTGACAACCTTTGGAAATAAGGCAGAGACTCATTCTTTCAAAGTTTACACTTCTTCAAAAGTACCTGAGAATTGATGAACTGTGGGTTTTTTTTTTCTTTTTCTGTATCTTAAAAACAAAACCCAGTATCTTTCACAAAGCCAATTTTAAAAAAGGATGGGAATAACATGACACCCGTCGGATCTAAAGGGTACTCCACTTCCCTGCCAAAGAATGAACCCACTGACTCATCCAACACTTGGGTCCAGGCCCAGCTCTCCCTGAACTATAGGACTTCTGGCGGTTAGACAAAAGCCAACATCCCTCAGGAACTTGTAAATCCAGCTCCCATCTGCCAAAAGGAGTCATTTGCCTTACCTGTGGCAGAAGGGGCGTACGCCTCCACTGACATACACTTGTGGCTATGTATCAAAGCCCATGCCAGCTTCCAGGCTCCCTCAGCATTTCAAAGCCCCCATGCCAGTCTCTTGGCCCTTCCCCCAGCTACTCCGCCTCCTTATAACTATTCTCACCAACTCTATCTGTTTTCCCGCTCTCTCCACTCTTCGCTCCTGCTCCCCAGCCCCGGCAATGTTCAGTCTACTTCTTTTTCTCTGTGCTCGACTCCTCCAGATGCCCTTGGCTCTTTTCCTCTCATATCTACAGTAAAAACCTTAACCGTACAATGGAGCAGTCATGCTGGCAGTTTCTTGACTGCACCTCCCTCGAATAAACACCTTTGATTTGGAGTGCGTTTTACAACTTACACTTTAGTTTTATATCAAGTTTAATGAACTAGCAAGAAGAGTCAATCCAATTCCAAGTAACAAGTTTTAGCATATAAAGAAAGGTGAGCTGGGCACAACGGAGATGCCCAGAATCCCAGAACTCAGGAGGCTCAGGCAGGAGCACTCTAAGTCTGATATCACCTTGGTCTACACAGTAAGACACTGCCTGAAAGGAAACAAACTGAAACCAAAACCCAGGGCAGGCTGCTTCCCTACTTAAGGGAGACAGGGACACAGTAGTTCAGGGCTCAGGTTCTGCAAAGAATGACCAGGACTGCTCACAAGTAAGTTCTTGTGCCCTACCACTCAGAGGTGCCTAAACCAGGGGTGCACAATCATCCCCACCAGGGGAACTCCTGCCGGCCTCGGGTGGGCATCGAGGGCTCTTGGGGTTCAGCAGTCACCAAGAGCTTGTTCTGCTAGCACCTAAGGATCACCTAAGACATCACTCTGCTGGCAGTGATACCGTGACCCAGATTCTGCACTGGACGCTCTGAACTGGATCTTCATCCGCTCCGTCTAGAGACTGAGTGTGCCTAGGAGGGAAGGGAGCCTGTACCACATCAAAAGATCTGGGTCTGCTCTCACGCTCAGCTACTTCACAACTTCTTCAAATTTTCGCAGTTTTTGTCATGAAAGTGGGGACAACTTATCTTAAACTACAAATGCAATGATTACAAATGATACATTAGTAAAAAGTACCATGTTTATTATAAAACTGCTCTTCCCTGGGCCTGTCCGATTTGAATTTACACAAAACTGTAGACTGAACAGGAAACACCATGAGACTACATACGATTCTTGTTTGTAACTTGATTGTGCAGTACTCAAGTGTGAACCCTGAAGATGACAATGTCATGTCACAATCTCCAAACGCTGGACACATCGCATTAATGCCCTCAGATCAAGCAAGTGATTCATCATAATTTGCTTTATCTCATGCCTGTCGTGACCTCCTCAGGACCTGGCTGGCTGGTTTACCTGTTCCCGTCAGTCAGACAAATCATGACTTTCGGATCTCACTGTTCTGCAGGAGCAATTCTGAAATGGCACTGAAAACACAAGAGAGCCCAGAAAGGAGTGAGACAACAGAACTTATCTTTGCTAACACCTTCCTGGGCCAACTACTAAAAAAACAACAAAACCCCAAATCAAAACCTAAAAGCTATTTTTTATTTCAGCCAATAGCAAACAAAAGGCTAACCACTTAAAGCTGTTTTACAGCCAATTTACTGCCCAGGGTTAAAGTGCCTGCTTTCACACAGCTAACTGTAGCACAGGCTTTGAAAAGGCACATTGTTCCTGCCTCAAGGACATTATGCCTTAGGCCTTTAAAGTTTCATGTTCTGGGAGGTTCCATAGCTAGGTTACAAAGCTGCTCATTTACCTTACACATTACTATGCAGACCAGATTTACAGTCCCAAATCATAGTTTGTAGCATGGTCAAAATGTACTTGGAACATCTTAACTCCTAAAAGAGAAGTTACATATTGAAGAAAGAATGATCTGAAAGCCAGGGCTGTGGTTGTATCTCCATCTAGCTCTGTGATCTCCTGTGTCTGAACCTCCAAACCCAGCTATAAAACAAGGCTGGGTTACTTGATGGTCCTTGATGAGTTCTCAGAATCTATGCCCAATGATACTTCAGGAGAAAAAGAGTATTGACAATCAGCAATAAGAGAAAATCCTAAAATCCTCATTTTTCAATAGCTTTTTTGCATTCTTTGAAATGAGCTTTCACTACACAGCCCAGCCTCCTTGCCTCAGCTTGCTCAGTGCCTGGGATGACAGACAAGTGTTACAGAGCCTGGCTTCTCAATGGCTTCTCGTTCATTTGCAGTCTCTTCTTATATAGCTCAGGCTGTCCTTGAACTATTCTCTACAGTCCTCTTATCTCAGCTTCCTAGAGGCCAAGGTTACAGGCATGCTCTACCATCCCAGGCATGCTCTACCATCCCAGGCATGCTCTATCATCCCAGGCATGCTCTACCATCCCAGGCATGCTCTACCATCCCAGGCATGCTCTACCATCCCAGGCATGCTCTACCATCCCAGGCATGCTCTACCATGCCTTGCTTCAGTGGCTTTTGTAATGATTATTTTTACTCAAACAACTATAATAAAGGTCAGAAAAATGCTACCTGTATAATAAATACCTATATAAAGTTTAAGGACATCAAATCACTAGCTTTTCCTAAAATGTCTAGGGTAAGTACTGGCTTCAGAAACAAAGGAACAAACAAACATTTTTGAGCTAGGGTCTCACTATGTTCTCCACTGAAAACTCTAACTTCTAGAATCGAGCAATCCTACTGCCCCAGCCTCCTAAGCGGGCAACAGCATCCGCCTCCGCCACCATTCCCAGCGATATTCACTTCTGGCTTATTCACTTATAAAAGTCATTATTACTGAATGTCTCTGAAGTTGGACTTGAGTGTAAAACACATAACCAACCCTAGCCCTAGAGACTGAGGCAGGAGGATGACAAATTCCAGACTAGCCTGTGCTACACAGTGACATCCTATCTCAAACAGAACATAAAGCAACATTAAGAACATTAGAAAGATTTAATACAAAAGAAATCTGCTAAAAATGTAAGCATTTATAAATACAAAAATTTTAAAACAAAGAATTCATAAAATAAACACAGTAACTACAAATAATAGAAACAGCTATCACAACACAATACATTAATAGCTGTGTCTATTAAAAACATTCACAAATTGACTTATAAATTCAAACTCCTTCTGTTTTATGCAAGAGATACGCTTAAACGGAGAGACAAAAACAGGGGGACAAGGCTAGACATCGTGGCACACACCTCTCAGCCCAGGATCGAGGAGACTGAGGCACTGGGGAGGTCGAGGCAGCTGGACTGTGAACTCAAGGCCTGACTAAGATACACAGCAAAATCATGTTGTAAAAATCAAAAACAAAACAACAAAATTCATCTGAAACCACGAGGAAGATATCCAAGGTCAGCTCTAGTCTCCACATAAGCATAACTAACATAGACACACGCTCAAGCACACTCACACACACACACCTGCACAACACACACACACACACACTCACTCACGCACACACCTGCACAATACACACACACAGAAAGATAAAACTTCCTTTAGAAAGTGAAATCAGCTGCAAGTGTGGTGGGAGCGAGAAGGCTTACCCATGGATGGGAATGGAGCAAAGCTTTTCCATGTTGGAGAGAACGGTCCGTAGAGTCTCTGGCTTTCTGGACGAGCCAAACTCAGTCACCAAGAGTGATTTGCTAATATCTGAAAAGGGAAGTAATTTCAAATAAACCACAAGATGTCAATAACCAAAACCCTAGAACAAATCTGACACAATTCAGAATAAAATGAGATATTTAAATTCTTTTTCCTGGTTTTATCAAACTTTTTTTCCAAGCTTCAAATATTAAAAAACTTATAAGTTAGGTATGGTGCTTGACACAACTCTGTAATTAAAAAAATAAAAATAAATCATTTAAAAAACAACAACAACAACAAAAAGAAATGAACTAAAAATATGCCCTCAACTCAAGTGTTTAAGAGAAAGGTTATGGCTGGGCATAGTGGTGCACATCTTTAATCTAAGCACCCAGGAGACAGAAGCAGGCAGATCTCTCAGTTCAAGGCCAAGCTGGTCTACACAGCCAGTTCCAGGCAAGAGCCACAGTGAGACCTTGATTCAAAACCAAACAAAACAAAATCGGAAAAGAAGGAAGGAAGGAAGGAAGGAAGGAAGGAAGGAAGGAAGGAAGGAAGGAAGGAAGGAAGGAAGGAAGGAAAGTAGGTAGGTAGGCTGGTTAGTTATGAAACTTATGAAAATCTGCAAAGATTCCAAAATCAAAACTGTTTGCAAGTTTAAAGTATTTACTAAACTGAAAGGATCCTGAAGGCACAAACTAGAAAATGTAGGGCTGACTTTATGCAAGAAAGGTGACTTAAAATGCCAACTGTCATATGAAACAGTTCAAACTCCAATGTCTACCTCAATGAGTATGCATGTATGTACACACACACACACACACACACACACACACACACACACACACACACACACAGGGGCCACATTCACAGACTTAACTCCTCTCAGACGGCAACACCCCTCCCCTGTCCCACAAAAAAAGAAAGCCTGTATTCACTGAAAATGGAAACTTTTCCCACATTATCTCCCTAGGCCATAGAGTATAACAACCATTTATACAGCAGTATCAATACTGGGGTAGCTGTAACTAACCTGGAGACAAAGAAAACAAGGGTATGTGGACAGGTTATATGCAACTACATTATTTTATGTGAAGGACTTGACCCTCACATAGACTGAGAAACTACTGGGTATCATTCATAAGGATTCTCAGGTGGTTTTGCTTGTTGGGGAAAGGTACAGATTTTTTTTCTCTGGTAAAGGTTTGTACAAAGCGTAGGTTGCCCTAGAATTGGCTTTGCCCAGGTTGGCCTCAAACTCCTGATCCTCCTGCCTCTGCCTCCTGAGTGTTGGGATTCCAGGAATATGCCCCCATGCCCAACTGATCTCAGCTTTAACTGCATTATTTATGATTTATTGGCCAATAACAGGCTGAGTGGCATCCAGTCAACTGCAGGAATTCTGGGAGACTGCGAGAATGTGGCTGAAGCACGAAGTCACGAGCCTCAGAACAGGAACCTGACGGACATCAACATCTTTCCTTGGACATCACCTGACCCTGCGTGCACCTGCTCAATGACACCTGCTTTTCCATGTTTTATCACACTAACAACTGAGGTCAGGAGGGAAAATAAAACAATAACACAATCTTGGGTCAGCTAACTCGCTACGTCCAGAGGTTAATATACAAATACCTAATTACAAGCACACTTGGCCAAGGGTACCAAGCGCCGGAGGACACACCTACCTTCCTGTTGTGAGACCCGAAGTTTCTGCCCATTACAAAAGGCACCTTTTCCTTTCCTGCCAGTATACATCTTATCTTCCACACAGCTATACACAACTCCAAACTCCATCTGCATAGGAAAGCAAGGCTCTTTTAGCAAATCTGAGTTTTTTCAATTAATTGAATAAAGTAACAAGAACATCTAGTATATTAATAAAATGAGCAAATGATCGACTGCAGCCCAAACACAGCAGGTCATCAGACCTTATTAGCTCCCCTCCCACTCAAGTCCAGACACAGAAAACACTGTCCCTCTCTCCTAGCCTGGGATGGAGGTAGCTTTTTGTATTTTCTACAATGAACACTGTGTCTGCCTGCATCAGGATCCTTGCTCATCCATTCTCTGACAAACTCCATCCATGGATTCTCCTTCTCTTCTGGTACCTTTTCACATCCTTATTGCTCATTTGAATTCTTGCCCCCTACACCTTCATGCTGAATTTAATAGCTAACAGAAAGGTACTGGGAGGTGTGGCTTTTAAGCGGCATCTGCCTTCTAGCATGTAAGGATTCAGCCTTCTTCCTCTCCAGCAGCCTAAGACGCACAGCCTCCGAAGAGAATGGTTTCACCAGACACTAACCTTAAACCCCAGCCTCCACTGTGTGCCAATGTATTTATAGTTATTTACCCAGTCTCCTGGGTTCTATTAAAGCAGCCCCTGCACTATCAAAGAACAAAAAGTCTACATTTTGTACTTCCTAATCTCCTGCTAACACCCAGTCTGAGTTCTGCCCTGCCCAGTCAGTCTACTGTAACTATAATAAATCTCTGCTGACCCCAAATGCTGGAGACAGGCAGCCATCCTCAAAGCTCTTCAATACTTAATTTAAAAGCTCCATGTTTCCCTGAGGTATCCTTTAAAAGTTGACACCTCAGGCTTTCTACCCATCTTGTACCGTGTCCATTTCCCTGCTAGCACTTCAGATTCTCACGGTGCCTTCAAATCTACAGATTCAACTACTAAGAATAATTCTGGCTCCCATAAATCCCATCACAGGGGTCTACGCTTTGTAACTGTCTTGCAGAAACCTCTTTCAAAGAGGTCAAAATCATATCAACTTTGCCAAATTGTTCTTTTTGATAAAACTCCTTTTCTTCTTCTCCTCCTCCTCCTTTAAAGCTGGCAAATTTCTAATTTTCTAAGTGGCAACTAACATAGCCAACTTCTAAGATGCCTTATGTCATGAACAGTTCCCCACTGCACTATGGACAGAACTGCTTATGTCCTTCTCTGCCTTCCATGTTACCTTTACCTGATGACACACTTGACTGTAATAAACTAAGGATTCAAAAGTAGAGACCACTTTATGCTCTGGCTGAATCTATGCTAAAGGCTTCTTTAGGACCACCTGGTGTGCTACGTGACCAGTGCAGCCAGTAACCAAGAGCTTTGTACTAACATGTTTTTAGTGTGTGTGTATGAGTGTATGAGTGTGTGTGTGTGTGTGTGTGTGTGTGTGTGTGTGTGTGTGTGTGCATACACATGCCGTGCATGCACGTTGCTAGCGATTCACCTCGGAGGTTTATATATGCTAGGCAAGCACTCTACCACTTAGCCTTGCGTTTTTATTTCAGAAATTTCTGAAATACATTTTTGTTCATATTGATAGAATGCAGTGTACAAGTTCCCTGAAGACAGCAGCCAACAGCCAAACAGCAGGGAACGAACAAAAAGGGACCACAGCAGCCAACGGATTTCACTCTACTGGGTTTTGCATGTAAGAATTCAGTTGTGTCTACGTTCCTAAACACACCCTAATTCCAGCCATCCTTCAGCTCCAGACACCTCACTGCCTTGCAATGCCTCCCTTCACTAACATCATGAAGACATGCTTAGAAATGTCCCACCTCGTCTCTGAGACATTTTAGTCCCATTAACTCCTGTCGCAGCTACGTGTGTCACTAGTCTGATGGGGATGTGCGTGTCCTTTACTTGCGCTCACTGTCTCTTTCCCACTGTGTCTCCTCGGGAAACAACCTTATCCCCTGGAGGAAATGCATGTGACGATGTCCCCAGTCTTGCAGCTGATGTTCACAGTGATGTGGTGGCACAAACCCAACACCAGACAGATTTACTTTTTCTCAGAAAAGGAAAGCAAGGTATTTTATGAACCATACATTTAAGACATACCTGTTTATTTACAACGAAGCCAATAGAAACAGCTACAAAAGGAAACCTTAAAAAAAAAAAAAACACAAACTAACCAAGACAGAATTTAATTTCAACAAGTACTTATAAGATTATTTCAAATTAATTCTCATGACTCTGAAGATGGAATATGTCACAAGTTATGCATATAAATGGGAGAAAGAGGCAACACACACACACACACACACACACACACACACACACACGATACTTCTACAGACAGTAACATGACTGGAAGGGCCACAAGGAACTGGCAACATCACTTCCAGAACGGGATCCTCAGTCCCAGGGCGACAGAGAGGGAAGAAAACTGCCCTGCACACCATCCTTCCTTCCCACAGCTCCTTGTATCAAACACTGGAAAGAAAGGAACTATGGACACGCTCGGTTTTCAAACTACAAATTCAAAGTTCCTTAACACTGGTCACAGTTAAAAAGAAAACATTCCTTCCAGCTTCCCCACAAGCAATAAACCAGGGAGAGAAAATTATTTGTTCCTATTCTGACATGGAACTTGGAGCTGAATGTTAGAAAAATAAACACAGTTAGCCAGTGATTTTTACGGTTTCTAGTTTGCACACAGATATTTTATATTCTCACACATAAGAGAATCAGAATTTTTAAAAAATTAGGCAAAATAAGTTCAAACATAACTGAAATAAGCTTAAATACTGATGAAAATAAGCATAAGTATTTAATATGGAATTTCTATTTTAATAAAAAACACATTACAATCTTTTGATTTATTCAATGTCTCTCAAGTAGCTTCCATATTTAAAAGGTACGGTGCCTTGTCACATGTGGATTCTATGCCTTACAGCTTTATAGACTTTAGTAACTATCTACGCAGCATACTCACACGTGTGCGCACACAGTTACAAGACAACTTTTCCTTACCATGCCAAGCACTATACTTAGTTCTTACAAAAGTGTACAACAAGAATCCCAGAGAGAAGGAATTCTATGAAGCAGGTGCTATTAATATGGCCATTTTACAAGGTATTAAAAACTAAGGTATCACGCCGGGCAGTGGTGGCGCACGCCTTTAATCCCAGCACTCGGGAGGCAGAGCCAGGTGGATCTCTGTGAGTTCGAGGCCAGCCTGGGCTACCAAGTGAGCTCCAGGAAAGGCGCAAAGCTACACAGAGAAACCCTGTCTCTAAAAACCAAAAAAAAAAAAAAAAAAAACCCCTAAGGTATCACACTAGGTAGTTTATGCTAGCCTGGAATTCAATGTATAGCCCAGGCTTGCCTCAAACCCACGATCCTCCTGCCTCCAACTCACGAGTGCTAGAATTATACTATCATACCCAGGGTCACAGTTTCTGTCAACCTGACACATACCTAGACTTATCTGAGAAAAGGGAATCGCAACTGAGGAAGTGTCAACATCAAACTGGCCTTCGAGAATGTCTGTGGGGCATTATTTTCATTACTAGTTGACGTAAGGGAGGCCAGCCCACTGTGGGTGGTACCACCTCTGGCCAGGCAGGCTTGGGCTAGAGAAGAAAGGCAGCAGAGCAAGCCAGGGGGAGCAAGCCAGTGAGCAGTCCTCCGTGGTTTGCGCCTTGGTTCCCTCAACGGTGAACTGTAAAGAGTGAGATGAAATCAGCCCTTTCCTCCCCAAGTTGCTTTTGGTCATGGGTTTATCACAGCAACAGATAACAAACTAGAACATTTGGATTTTAAGCATTTTTTAACCTTTATTTTTATTTTATGTGTTATAGGTGTTTAAAGATCATGTTCATGCAGTGTCTGTGCAGATCAGAAGAGGGTGTTGGATCCCACAGGACTGAAGTTTCAGATGGCTGTGAGAGGCCATGTGTGTGCTGGGAATCTAATCTGGGACCTCTGGAAGAGCAGCCTGTACCCTTAACCACTGAGCCATCTCTCCAGCCTAGTTTTACGTAATCTTTAAACTGAGGCTTAGGAAGACTGACTGCGCTCGGTCACAAAGCCAATAAATAAGCTGCAGGATTCAAATCTCAGTCTGTAGATCCCAATCCCACCCCCTTAGTGCCCCTCTTTTCTCTTAGAGTGAACTCACTGTACATATAGACTATCCATCGGTGACCTTACCAATTCCTTTACTGACCCGGAGCACCCATGTCATTCCCTCACATGTTTATACAGTCTTCCCAGGAAGAAAAAGAATGGCGACCAGGCACAAGTCCACACAGTACCCTCCCTCACTTCCTCCTCATCTTAGAAAACACCTGCATGGGAAATGTAGCTCCACCGCTACATTTTATATACAGTTTCTTAGAATAAAGAACAAAAACAATTTATACAGCTTCCTAAAGTATGTATCGCCTCGCACAGATAACCATCCAGTTAACAACAACAGTGATTACATCAAAATTAAAGGCATACCTGTGTACAAAGTTGGTCGTCCCATCAATAGGGTCAATGATCCACGTGGGGTTGTCTGTGAAGACCGTCTTTTCCCCAGCTGCCACAGATTCTTCCCCAATGAAACTGAAAGCAAGAAACACAGACTTCTAACATCTAAATTACAGTCAGAACTTTAAGCTTCATTTCCTTAGCTACAGGGTCTACCATGACACAAGCCAAGGCTAGACTATTGTTCTATTGCTGCTCTTTCTTTCTTTCTTTCCTCCCTTCTTTCTTCCTTTTTTTTTTCTTTCTTTTTTTTTTTTTTTTGATTTTCAAGACAGGGTTTCTCTGTGTAGCCCTGGCTGTCCTGGAACTTGCTTTGTAAAACAAAGCCCTGGCTAGCCTTGAACTCACAGAGATCCACCTGCCTCTGCCTCCTGAGTGCTGGGATTGAAGGGGTGCACCACCATCATCTGGCCCATTTTCTTTCTAAATATAAAATGCAAGCACGCATGCATGCATGCGTGATAAAGACGACAAAGCTCTAATTCCCCAGATCAAAGGCATGTGAAACAGTACAGACCCCTACTTCTACATGCAATGCTGGCACAGATGCAGGACCTGAGAGGGTCCTCCTTAAAACGAGAAAGTAAGGAAATACAGTGATTTCAAAAGTAAGAGCACAGGGAGGGTGTGCCTGCAGCGCCTAAAATCCCAGCACTCTAGAGGTACAAGTGAAATCATGAATTCCCGGATAGCCTGGGCAAGAGTGAAACTTTGTCTTAAAATCAAACAAATTGAAATAAATAATAAAAGGCCACGAATTCTCTAGTACCTATCAAGATGTAGAGCCCATATAGCACTTTCTTTTGAGTGTGAAACTGACTTCTAATCCACAGAACACAGCAGGAGTGCCAGTTGTATGGCCTTATTCCTGGCCTGGTGGTTTCCATCTTGTTCACACTGCTTCTCCCTCCCCATCCCGGGAGAATCCAGCTTCTATGTAGCTCTGAGAGGATCCACAAAAGTGCCACACGGGGGAAGCTGCCAGCAGACAACCTGCAGGGAGCTGCAGCTGCCAGCAACCACAGAGGTGAGGGGATGCTCCAGACCTACTGGAGCCTTGGTGGCTGCACCTCTGGACCACTGACTGAAACTTCCAGAGACGGCAGCCAGGGCCATGCGGCCCAGCAACTCCCATCTTCCCAACGCTGGCGAAACTTGTGACATACGATGTCCGTCATTTAGAATTATTTTCATAGGAGTAATAGATAACAGAGAACAGTCAGTAAGTTAATGTGACTATAAACTACCTGCCATGACTGTGTACAACAACTATAAGTTGATTTTATAAATGGTGTCTGAGTTCATTAGTTTCTTCTCTGTTTTCTTTTTTGAATTTTTCATTGTTTGACATTGAACTGTCCTAATAAATATTTGCCCTCTTTCTCTTACGTCTGTTTTATTAGAAGGAAGTATGTTCAATCACAATTTTAAATATTTTTCCTTCTCAGTGGCTAAGAGGCTGATAATGGCTGATGCCACAGGAGGAAGAAGGAACAGAACTACAGCCTACAGCTTTCAGAGGATGGCTTTTAACTTCTTAAAGGTCTGGGGATCAGACTCAGGGACTTGCACATGCAGAGTGCTCTACCGCTGACCTGTTTACAGCCTGGCGTTTCCTGAGACAGGGTCTCACTGGGTAGCCCTGGCCGGCTACACATCCCCATGCCTCTTAACTCCATCTCCCGAGTGTCAGAATTAGGGGCATCTGCCACGTTGCCTGGCTGACAACAGTGTTTCTGCTAAATTCCTGTGTCTGCGCAGAGTCCTGACTTTAGGATTTTCTCTCAAACGTCCCAACGCTACCATTTCTCTCACACCTAAGGAACTCAGCAATGCAGAAGTTTAACTAAGCTTTTCTACTGTGCCTGCAGCAAAAAACTGCTTCCACCATCTAAGGAATCCAAAGACCCCCTCTTCCCCCATCCCTAGAACCACAGTACAGGCAACCGACCTAACTCAGCACCAGGGGCTCCTTCTCAGGATTTGGAATCTTAACTAATGAGGTACAAATACATAAAAGACTGGTCAGAAACAGTCAATGCCATCAGTCAAGACCAAGACCACACACACCATGCAAAGCAATGGCCCAGACATCACCCACCCCAGGTGTGTCTTCCTCCTCCGCATCATCTTGGCCTGAGCTGCCCAATAACTCAAATAGGCTCCTTTTCAAGCTTAAGTCAGCTTATAAATCTGTACCTAGAAGCAATACTGGCCTCATGCATAGATTTTACTTTTATCACTTTAAATTGGTGCAAGAAATACCTGTGAGATGGGTACTTTTCCTTTATAGAAGAGAGAAGCATCTGTTCAACTTTCTGGTCGGTAACTGTTACCAAGTCAGCTGGAGAACTTTTAATCATAACATTCATCTCATTTTTTAGAGCTTCACAGATCATCTAAAAAGGTATTTTTGGTAAGCAAGTAAAAAATATGTAAGTAATTTTAAACCAAACAAAAAGGTACCTTACAAAAATAATGTCAAGCATTCAATCAGTCTTACATAACGTTCTTAATTTTTCTTTCAAAAATGTCTATGAAATAAGTCATTTTAGAGTTATGACCTTCTAGGTAAAATATTACATAATTTCATATCCTATTTTAGATTCAGGACTGTCATCACAAAAGCTTAACAATACACACTGGAAAATCCAGCTGGGGATGTCATGTAGTGCCAGTGCCTGCCTAACACACACACAGTCCCAGGTTCCATCCCTGGTGCCACATAGACACATGATTCCACTGTAGTTAAAGTGTTTAGTAAGAGAGAAAATGTAGTCTAATCAGTTGAACTGTTTCCCTGCCGGAGTGTGAAGGCTGTACTGCAGTTTCTACACACATCACACTCCGGCAGGGAAACTGTAGTTCACACATACCTCTCCAGCTCGTCTTGCGAGGGTGACCGCAAAGTCCATGCACTCCTGCCAGGGGTCGGACATCTTCTAAACGTATCCAACACAGGGAAGCACAAAACAGTTACAAAGTCTGCAAGCATTCATTGACACAAGCGTCTCAATCAGAAACTCACTTTGATTGTGATTCAGCCCTTCCCTGGTTTACAGTTCAACATTTTTGCCCAAGATAAAGGCCCAGTAAACAACATTTTGAAACATCACATATTTCACCTCTATAGTAGAAATGTTTGTTACTACTGTTGTTTTGAGTCAGTGTCTCACAGTCCAGGCTGGTCTCAAACTCAATAAACAGCCAAGGATGACCTTGAACTCCTGATCCCCTGCCTCTACTTCCCAAGTGCTAGGATTACAGGCATGTGCCACTATACCCAACTTAATAGAAGAATTATTAAAGTAAAAATATGTTCTATGAAGCTGTCTCCCAAAGTGTCCATATAGTATCACATTTTGGGAAGTGGCCATACCATAATCATATTGTGGGGACAGCAGGGATCCAATTGAAGCTTACGTAGGTCAAGATGAGATCAAGAAGTAGTCTAAAGGTCAGGTATATGACTGGGTGGGGAACAAGAAAAGAACCCCAGGAAAGCTGAAATAAAAGCAGGTTTAAAGACAAAGGAGCAAAAGATGTCTGTGTTAACTGAACTCCGGGAAGCTAAATGCTTTGCACATGGAATATATATATATATTTTTAAATAAGATTGTAAAGGTGAAGAATAAAGGTATACAGATTAGAAATAATTTGCCCAATGTTATACAGGCAGATTTTACAGAATATATACTCAATTCTGATTTGAAAGTTCCTTGCTTTCCATTACAGCATTCTGAGGGGGAAAAAAACTTTAGGTCTAAAAATATAATTACAAAAGCAAAGGCGCCATTTACCTCCTAGGCTTCAGGGAGGGGGAAGTATAACCGTGTGACCTGCCAGCTTTCTGCCGGCCGCTAGAGACCCACCACAGGCTCAGCTGACCACAGCTAACAGGAGTTCTTAGCACAGAGAGGCATGGCAGCGGTCATGCTCAGAAAAGATGGCCTTCTTTATAAAGCCACACTAACTCTGTCCGCTTCACAACGGAGAGCAAGTGACGCTGGGCTTCCTCTTCAAGGGCATCTGAACTCTGCCTCACTGCACAGGAAGGGCAGCACAGGGACACGGAGCAGACGGACAAGTGTCCACTGGCTGCTGCTTCCTTTTCCTTGAGACAAGGTGGGCTTCAAACGCTTGACCGTCCTGGCTCATTTTCAGAATGCTGGCTGGGATTACTGCCATATGCCATCGTGACTAAATGCATTTTCCTTGTGATACAAGCATTCAAGTAACTGTAAAAGACTACTCTGATCTACAGAACAAACTGCTTAGTGATCTTCAAGAATGGATTCCACACTATCCATCTTGTTCTTATTCCACTCTTCTCGTCTCCTCACAACTCAACTGTCTTGGGCTGGGCCTGCTTCCTCACCAGAAGCTGCTCCTGCCTCTCACATGTTACCTTGTGACAACACTAACCACTAACAGAACACCTACTGATTCCCCAAGACAGTTTCAAAAGCTATCCACCATATCTTCAAGGAATTATCCAGCCGAATAGATATCAACCAAGAGATATTTGCAGGGGAAAAAATGCTGTTGCTTTACAGCATTTAGTCATTTGTATGCAGGCCACATCTTTTCAACCAGTCTGAATATATTTCTTGAGGAAAGGGGGCTGATAAATGAAATTTTCTGAGGTGCCCTGAAATTTACAGGGTCCACGAGAGAGTATAAGGAAAGTCAATTAGGTAACAGTTGTTGGGGTTTGTTCTTTTTTTGTGGGGTAGGGGTGGGGGCAATAATGGAGAACTAAAAAACCTGTGCGTTGAAATCCAAAAATACCGTTAGCTATAAATCTCAGACGTACTTTTTACCTTTGTTGTTGGTAGTTTACAAAATGTGCCCCAAGTCTTGGTCCTTTTCCTAGCTAGTATATGCAAAAGGCTCAATAAACCCTTTTATTTCAAAGACCTCTTTGCCACAAGACTTGCTTTCACGGGGGTTATATTCTAGCAGCCTTCACTTTGGGAACAAAAGTCATACAGACTGTAAACTGTCTCCATCCTGTAGTCACTTGTCCCCGCTCCTGACGCAAGACATCACCGGACCTGGGCCTGCCCATCCCTAACCCTGTGATTTCGGGACCCAGGGAACTTGCCATACAGATCCCTGAGGGTTTCTGCAAAGTCGGGCATATTCTGCGACACAGACCCTCGGAGATCAATGAGGATGGCCTGGCGAAGCTGCTCGGCTGTTTCCGGAGTACTCCGGAAAGCAGAGCCGGGAGGAGGGCCCGGCCACCGCCCCGGCCCAGCATGGGGGCAGCTCGCCTGCAGCTCGTCAGAGCCTGCGCCTCGGCCACCGAATACCGCAGCGCGGGGATGCAGGGACAGCACGGACTTACCTCGTGTGAGCGCGCACCGCGAAGCGCAACCGCCGGGGTCGAGGTCTCGGCTCTTCCGGAGGTAACGGGGGTTGCTCCGACAGGAAGTCCCGCCCCTTGAGGCCTACGGGCGGGGACCGGACGTCTGGAAACCCCGCCTTCACGTCTGGGCTCAGCCCCGAGTTGCCAACCTGGACGGTGGGAGGGCTGGTCTGGTTGAAGTTGGTGTATTCTGGCATTCTCCTGCATACCCTTTCTTCTCTAAGAACCCCCGCTTTATTGCTTTATTTTGCAAATCTCCACTTCCGTCTTTATTTGTTCATGGTTTCCCATTTCCCTTTCTCCCATCTGGTCCTTGAGGTCCATCCTGCTCTTTGGTCACAGATGAATGCCACTCTGCAGCTCTTAGTTGCTAAACTTGTATTAGGTAAGCCTAAAGGAGATTTTAAATTTTTGATAATTGGCTCTCAGCACCAACTCTCTTTGCAGTGATTCACTTAGATACCGGTTGCTGTTTGTTGAGGGCTTGGCATGCTGCAGGCAGGCGGCTCCCCACCCGCCCCAACCCTCAGTTCTAAGGATAAAGCCTGGGGCTTTGTAAGTAGTATACAAGCACCCTATCATGGAGCTACCTTCCCAGCCATGGATGTTTAACAATGTCCCATTATGTAGCCTAGGTTGGCTTCTCAAGTCTGATCCTCACGTCTTCACTTCTGGAGTTCTCCAGTTACAAGCATGTGCCACCACACCAGGCAGCACTTGTGTTCGTACATGCTCATACATAAGAGTTGCAACAATTTCATGAAGATTCTCTTCATTATACAGATAATGAAACTGAGGCTTGGAGAAGTTAAGGGATTTGTCCCCAACTCACACAGCATGAGCACAGCTCCACCAAAGTCCACATACAGAAAATACACATGGGTCAACCAGGTTGCTCCATAATGGGCAACAGAAGCTAGTGTATAGTTTTTAAAAATGTTTCCTCTCATGAAATGGTAGGTCAGGTATGATGGCAGGCATGTTACTCTTAAGTGGAAAACTCTACACATATGACCTACCTACCTACAAGAGGACCACAATGTTCTTGCATAATTGCTTGTGAATACTTTGCTTCTCTTGATTTAATCAAAGGACAAGAAATTGTTAAGGATGTGCAACATGTCTCCGAGATGAGTGGCAGGAATGGTGAATCCAACTTGTAAACCTCACGAAGAGCCAAAACTTGTCTTTGCTTTTCTGAAGAATGCTATCTTAAGAAACTGCCTTGGATACCTCTATCAAATATTCTCGGCTTTTTTTTTTTTTTTTTTTTTTTTTTGGATTTTTCAAAAAAGGCCTTCAAGAACTAGGTTTCTGGGCTATCCATTGTCAACCATTTTAAAATAAAAAATCTTATCAAATGTATGCTGACAGACATGGATATGTGAACAAATGGAATTCTCTAGGCCTTTGAAGAAGTAGCATCTTTAAACCTCTCATGAGTGAGAGTTGTCCCACTGTCTTGGCAAAGCTGCTAAAATCATTGTAACCATTTTGAAGTAAGATAAATGAGGGACTGAATACAGGATTTCTTTACATTAAAGCTATTGGGGCTTCCTCCATCAGATGAGCAGGAACTCCAGTTCTGTTTTCTTATAGCAGCCTCTGCTGCTTCTTCAGAACTGTTGTCAGGTAACTCAGGTTTTTCAGCACAAACAGTCCATTCTGTTGCCAAGTGATTTCGGAAAGTGAAGTGCACAACAGTGTCTGATGTTCTGATTCCATGATGGCCGTGCTATGAGCTTGTGCCACAAAGTCCAAAACCCTGATATTGAGTGTGTGAAAACTGGTTCTGGTGGTTGTAGAGACCTCCATACATGACAAGAGAAAAACTCAGAGATGATAGAGAAATTTTAAACACAGAGAGAGAGAGAGAGAGAGAGAGAGAGAGACAGACAGACACACACACACACACACACACACACACACACACACACACACACACACACACACACACAGAGAGA